CAAAGTTGCAGGTGGAAAAGGGTTTTCTTGAGCAGTATTGCAACTGACTTTCTCATAAGGATTTTAATGGCTGTGTCTGGGTGGGCCCAGCAGACATCAGATATGTTTATTCAGACGTGGAGACGAGCAGGCTTAACCGACGGACGGAGAAAAAAACCTAGATCTGACACTCATCTGTTGTAAACAAAAGTGTTACATTGCCCTCCGAAACATCTTTTACATTCCGCCATGTAAATCCTTACAAGGCGGTCTCCGAGCGCCAAGGAATTAATACTTTTTAATTTATTTGTTTAGATTTCTTAAGTTTTCATTGTCGGCACACAGCAGTTAATAATCACAGTTGTCACATAAAATATTTAACAAGCTTATCTTCTAATACAGTATTCTTTTACGATGATATCAATTACGCCAGATATCTAAAAAAAAAAAAGCATGATATCTCTGAATAAGTGCGTAAACACTTGGGATCATTTTATAGAAAATAAAAAATAATTAAAGAAGTAATCAATTTTATGTACGGATAATTACATATAAAAGGGATTTGTAAGAGAGATTTCAATTTTACACAGAAAAGAAAAATTTTCGTTTAAATCATTCAGCGTCATTTGCCCCGTAATTCGTATTTTCGACGTTTCTGAGTATCAATACTACATAGTGGTCAGCACAATTTTCGTGACGCAAGCCGCAAATTATTACGAGTTTCGCGTGGCACTAACAGGGACTGTTGCATAGACACAAGGCCTCGTTTAGCGCAAGAGCATTATGGTTTTACAATGTTTATAACTGTTCTAAACGAAGCAATAATGGACTGCAGAAGCGACTATAAAGTCTCTACACGGTTACAGCAATTTTCCGTCGCGAACATTTAAACTAGCGTTGCAGATTACGAATAGAAGTAATCATGCTAATTCAAATTTTTGTTTTACAAAAATAATTTTTTATACAAAATAAAAGCTGTTTCAATAGCATTATATACTTATTTTGTGGCATAACGTTGATTATTATGCAAAATAAAATAAATTAAATTACAAGATCTAATTAAATATGTTTGTCAATGAACGAAAAAAAAAATTATTCTCAAATTCTGTTATAAATATCATACGATAAGCAAAAATCATATTCCTATAACAACTTTCTTATTAATTAGCAATGTTTTGTTATTGAAACTTATTAAAGGTATAATGGAAGCTATAAATTGGAATATAAAATATATCGAAATCTAAGTTCAAAGAATACAACAAATCATTTTCAAACCTTGATTCAGGAATTTCCTATAGACACGACGGTAACAAGCTCGCAATTTGAAGCAGAAGTACATTCGTTCGAGTGCACCACTGATGGACTTGTCTCGTAAAACGAGAAAGGAACGATTTAACCCTCAATCAACCGACGAAAGCTAATTTTCATTAGCTGTTAATAGCGCAAGACCACCCTCTCCCTTGATCACCCTCTATGGCTCTACCCCTCGCATTCTCCAAGCGCACATCTTCCATTTGTTACGAAAAGGCTATGCACATTAAATGAATAGAAACTTGCAAAATTAACGTAAATTCTATATCCGTTAAATAATATAATAATATAATTCAATAATATACATGTAGTTGATAAAGAAAGTAGTTACTTTGATATAAGGTAAACATTACTTTTTCTAT